TAATTTCTCAGTAAATTTTCATTAAACGTTCGAGCGTAAAAACTACCGCTCGAGCGGAAGAACTGCAGAGCAAAATACTGGGAGATGGAAAATCCCGCTCGAGCGTCAAAACTCCCGCTCGAGCGGAGAAGCAACAACGAAGGGCCCGCTCGAGCGTTAAAACCTCCGCTCGAGCGTGAAGGCCAAAATCTGGGCATCACCTATTGGCATCAAAATTCAACCAACCTGTACCAGACCCGTCCAACACAACCTATACTTCAAATACAAAGAGATTAAAGGACAACAACAACCAATAAATAATGACAGGATCTACGGAGCCTAAGTCCGGATACAATAATCTAAAGAGAAAAGACCGGGGTCGCTATAGATCCATTCCTGGAGCACCGGCTTTTAATGAATTAATCTTTCGCAATAGGTTGGTGGATCTTCCTTCTCAAGGGGTGTGGTATACTTGGTGTAATAATCGCAAGGAAACTGAAGCGGTTTATGAGCGATTGGATAGGGTGCTTGCTTCGTCTTGTTGGACAACCCTCTTCCCACAATTTTCACTTGTAACATTGCCTATTCACCGGTTTGATCATAGCCCGCTATTCCTTGACACTAGCCGTATCGAACCTTTTGGGCCGAAATGGGGCAGATTTGAGGCAGTTTGGTTAGCAGATCCGTCTACTCAGGATATTATCCAAAAAATTTGGCACAACCCCACTCCTGATGTTGCTACTTGTGTTCAGAGGCAGACCATTGTTTATCGACATTTGAAAAATTGGAATGCTCTGTCATTTCGGAGTCTCCAAGGCCAAATTGATGACATTCTTGCTCGTCTCCGCCAGGTCCAAGAGGGGCTATCAAATCTGGACCTACTTTCTACTGAACAGGAGCTACGGTTACATCTTGATATTTTGTTACAGAAACAGGAGCTTTACTGGGCTCAGCGATCTAAACAACATTGGCTGTCTTTGGGGGATCGCAATACAAAATTCTTTCACCGGATGGCGTCCTGGAGACGGAGTCGGAATCGCATTGCTATCATACAGGATCACGATGGTCATGTTCTCACTCAGCCCCAGGAAATCCAAGCAGCTTTTGTTGCGCATTTCAAGCAACTTTTTTCAGCATCATCGGCCTCTCACATTGACTCAGGTGCCTTTCCCTCTCATTTTAATTTAATTAGTGTCATTAATACTCATTTGACTCCTTATCATTCTACTTTATTGGACAATCCATTTTCTACGGAGAAAATACAAAAGGCTGTCTTTCAAATAGGAAAGTTTAAGGCTCCGGGGCCAGATGGGTTTATAGCTGGTTTTTATCAAAAATATTGGTCAATTGTGGGTTCATCTGTGACAGAGGCTGTGTTGGGTTTTCTCACTACCGGATTCTTATTCAAACCGCTCAACAAAACTTTTATCTGCCTTATTCCCAAAACGAAGAGTCCCATGACGGTTCATGATTATAGGCCTATCAGTTTATGCAATGTGCTTTATAAAATAGGTGCAAAAGTGCTGGCTAATAGACTTAGTTTAGTGCTGCCAGATTTGCTTGCTGATAATCAGTGTGCCTTCTTGAAGGGTCATCTTATATCTGATAATATTCTGTTGGCCCATGAAGTTATTGAATATATTAAAAAGCGTAAAAAACAGGGAAGTTTGTCCTCTTTTGGATTAAAGTTGGATATGAATAAAGCCTATGATAGAGTGAGTTGGGCTTTCCTTGAAGCGGTTATGGCTAAAATGGGTTTCTCAGATAAGTGGATTCAATTAATTTCTCAATGTGTATCTACTGTCCAATTTGCTGTCCTGGTTAATGGCATTCCATCGGATTTTTTTGCACCTGCAGCCGGTCTGCGGCAAGGCGACCCCCTTTCGCCGTATTTGTTTTTATTGGTAATGCATGTCTTTTCGGAAGGATGTGCGCATTTGGCGTCTCTCAACATTTGCCGTGGTATCGCTATTAGTCGTCAGTCGCCCCCAATTTCACATTTGCTTTTTGCTGATGATTGCTTTATATTCCTTAACTATAAGACAGAAGAAATTTGGTGCTTCCATTGGTTTTTAAATGCCTTTTGTCACTACTCTGGGCTGCGTATTAATTTTCATAAATCGGAGCTTTATCTTAGTCCCAATTTTTCACAATTGGCCAGGGACTGGCTGGTATCTCTTTTTGGAGTTAAAGTTGTCCCAAAACCCGGCATCTATTTGGGGGCTAACTTGGGTTTCTCCGGGCGCTCAAAGTCGGACATATTTACCTCAATTCTGAGTAAAGTTAGCCACAAGTTACAAGGCTGGAAATGTGATTTTTTAAATTTTGCAGGGCGGGGTATTTTGGTCAAACATGTCCTTCAATCCATTCCGGTGTACCTTATGACGGTGTTCCGCATGCCTGAATCATTTCAGCATAAGCTTACGTCTCTTATTCGTCAGTTTCTTTGGGCCTCCTCCCGGGGTAACGGGATCCCTTGGAAAAAATGGACATATATGTGTCTCCCCAAAAATTGGGGGGGATTGGGTTTTCGAAATCTTATGTGTTTTAACCAAGCTTTGTTAGCTAAACAAGCATGGCGGATTCTTTCATGTCCCAATTTATTACTTTCTCGGGTGATGCTTGGTAAATATTGTCAACGGCGTTCCTTTCTTAACATTCGCCCATCTTCGTCCTCTTCATGGGGATGGCGGAGTATTTTATGGGGCCGTTCGTTACTTGCATCGGGACTTCAATGGGTAGTGGGGAACGGACAACGTATTAACCCTTTTGAGGATCAATGGATTCCGATTGTTTCAAATCCTTGTAGAGGTCGCGGTTGGAATGATTTTTGTCCTGGATTAAGGGTTGCACATTTCATAGATCCCGTGCGAAGGTCTTGGCGTCTTGAATTATTGGAATTGTTCTTTCCCCCATCTGTCCTCCCTTATATTGTATCAATGCACATTGCTCAAGTTGATATGGACGACAAAATGGTGTGGGGTCCGACCAAAAGTGGTGAGTATTCAGTCAAATCCGGTTATAAGCAAGCGTTAACCCGACAGTTTCCTGACCATTCTAGGCCTGATCCGGATTGGCAAGTTTGGAAACGCTTATGGCAGTTTAAGATCCCCCCCAAATGGATCTTGTTTGTGTGGAAATGTCTTCATAATATTCTTCCGGTTAAAACTGAATTAAAGAAAAGAGGAATGCCAATTGATATTATGTGTTCCAGGTGTTTCCAGACTGCGGAATCACTTGAACATTTGTTTTTTGATTGCCCCATTTCACAACGGATTTGGCGTGGATCGACTTTGGGGTTAGATTTTGGAGTGGGAAGACCTCTATCCTTTTTTTCATGGTTTAAAGGATGGGTGCATCAAATACATGACTCGGAGATTGTATTACATTCCATTGCCTTATTATGGGCCATTTGGATGCAACGTAATTCTGTAGAATTCCATAAAGCTGAGGTGTCCATAGAACGACCGATCATGTTTGCTTCCGAGTTACTAACTTTATTTCTTTCACCCTTGCACAATGTTCCTTATGAGATTTCTCACTCTACTTCTTCTCCTCAAACCAGTTTTGTTAAGCAGGTTATTTTACAGAATGCTCGGCCTTGCATTGCTGCTGGTCCGCGTATGCGTATTATAGTGGATGGCTCTTGGGTTGCTGTTGGTGAGCGCACTGGTCTGGCATGGGTTTGCTTCGATTCTGATGATCACCAAGTCTATGAGGAAGCTATGTTGGGACCTTCAATGTTATCTCCTCAACAGGTAGAAGCAGCTGCGGTTCTCCATGCTATGCACTGGGCAGTCCGGTCCGGCATCAATCATCTGCTTCTTCAAACAGATTGCTTAGTCCTACTGCTGCTGCTACAACACCATACTCAAGAATCCGAATGGAGTCTCCAATCCATTCTTGCTGACATTTTGTCCTTGTGTAAATCTTTTGATTATGTTGTTCTATGCCCCATTTCACAACGGATTTGGCGTGGGTCGACTTTGGGGTTAGATTTTGGAGTGGGAAGACCTCTATCCTTTTTTTCATGGTTTAAAGGATGGGTGCATCAAATACATGACTCGGAGATTGTATTACATTCCATTGCTTTATTATGGGCCATTTGGATGCAACGTAATTCTGTAGAATTCCATAAAGCTGAGGTGTCCATAGAACGACCGATCATGTTTGCTTCCGAGTTACTAACTTTATTTCTTTCACCCTTGCACAATGTTCCTTATGAGATTTCTCACTCTACTTCTTCTCCTCAAACCAGTTTTGTTAAGCAGGTTATTTTACAGAATGCTCGGCCTTGCATTGCTGCTGGTCCGCGTATGCGTATTATAGTGGATGGCTCTTGGGTTGCTGTTGGTGAGCGCACTGGTCTGGCATGGGTTTGCTTCGATTCTGATGATCACCAAGTCTATGAGGAAGCTATGTTGGGACCTTCAATGTTATCTCCTCAACAGGTAGAAGCAGCTGCGGTTCTCCATGCTATGCGCTGGGCAGACCGGTCCGGCATCAATCATCTACTTCTTCAAACAGATTGCTTAGTCCTACTGCTGCTGCTCCAACACCATACTCAAGAATCCGAATGGAGTCTCCAATCCATTCTTGCTGACATTTTGTCCTTGTGTAAATCTTTTGATTATGTTGTTCTTCAAAAAGTGGACCGTGATGTGGTTCATGCTGCTCACAAACTTGCTACTGATGTAAGACTTATTGCTTAGTTAATATTTATATTACAAACCAAGCCCTAAACCTAATATCATCAAACAAACTGCACAGCTCTCTCTATTTCATCTCATACACACTCTCTCTCTCTCTCTGGGGCGATGGCGACCATTGATTTCCACCGAACGATGACCTTCGCAAGATCGACTCTCTCTCTCTGGCAACTCTCAGGTAAGCTTTTGCCTGTCTCTGTCTCTGTTTCTTTTTCTCTTTCTTCTCGATCTCTAAATTTTCTTTTTTATGTTAGATCTATTTGTGTCCTCAATCCTTTATCAAGATTCTGTCCTCAATCCTCTGCAACTCTCAATATCAACTTTTGCAAGATTGACCTTTGCACTATCAGGTAATCGTCTCTTTGTTTTGATACTTGAAGGAAATTATGTTGATGTCTTGATATGAGTGTTTTGATACTTGAATCTGAGTGTTTGAATCTGTTATGAATCTGTTTTTCATGTCATTCAAATATTTGAATGTTTTGATATTTGAATCTGTTATGAATCTGCTTTGATACTTGGGGGAAATTATGTTGATGTCTTTGTCACGACTCGCTCTCTGTATCAAAGGGTTAAGTATTGTGATAGCCAGTAATTGAAGTTACTTATAGCCAATAAAGGTGGGCGCGGGTTGGTTGCAGCCATAAAACCTCCAATCTGCTATTCGTTCGCCAGATTGGCGGATTGGAGAAAATCAATCCGTATCCGTCCGCCAATCCGGCGGATGTGGATTGAGCGGATTGGAGGATGGATACAAATCGGTTTTGGCGGTTTAAAATTTTATAAATTTTCAACATAATTCAACTTGTACACTTCCTCAAAAAGAAAAAAAAAGAAGAAAATATTACAGTCAATGACTTTAAAAAGTATTACAATTACTGCATGTCTCATCCAAAGAAAGAAAGTTTGAAACTTTAGAATATCACAATCACTGTATGCCTCATCCACATATTACAATCACAGCATGCCTCATTCACATAAAATATTACAATTTGTGGTTCTTAAAATATAAAAACAATTCAAACCACCAAAACCATGAACAAAGCAGTAGTATAGATTGTATGTCTCTATGTTGTTATATCCATATATGTTTTTGAAAACAAAAACCAACCAGTATATATCATATTTTCTATTTATTATTTTTAGAATTAGATTTAAAAACAAAAAAATACAAATAAATAATACGTTTATTTTTTTCAATTCAAAAAATATATTCAAGTTGAATTTTTTTTTTAACAGAATATTTAAACTCTTTTACAATTGAAAATACAAACAGAATATTTAAACAAATTAAAAATACAAAGTCTTATAAATTACTAGGGGTGCTTGCGGTTTAGCAATTCGGTTTCGGCCGAAGGAACCTCAAATCCGCTATCCGTCCGCCAAATTGGCAGATTAGAGAAAATTAATCCGCATCCATCCGCTCGTCATCATGCATCCGTCCAAAATGCGGCGGATTGGTATATCCGCTGCTCACCCCTAATAGCCAATTCTTGAACAAATTAATAAACACAAGTTAAAATAATATTTAAGTAAGGGTACCAAAATAATCATCGGAGGTTCTATTTAATTAAATTGTTAGATTTGAACTATGTCTTCAAAGTGCTTTGTACCTACCCCACACTCTGGTCCTGACATGTCACCTGAAAGTGGTAAACAACTATAAACACATGGTAAAGTGGGAAATATTATATTAAGAGCATAAGGGCATAAAATTCACATGGATAATTATGAGGCTAAACAAAGCTTGATATTAAAATACAGAATATATAATACAGAAATCATTTGACATATAATCCAAAATAATCATAACCACGATACAGAACATAACAGAATAAATCAGAGGTCACTGGAGGTCAATCGATCCATAACAAACAGAGGACCACAAAGTGGCCAAACAGGAGCCAATGGTTATTTAAGTCCCCCAAGGCATGAGACCTTTGTGGTGATACTTATAAAATAATTACTCAAAATACATTATAATAAACAGTTATATCCACGAGTTTTACTTATTATATAAAATAAGGTTCATAAAATAAATAACATAATTAAAACATAATTACAAAAAATAAATTATAATAACTTAAAACATATAAAAAACATATTATAATGATTTAAACTATAAAATAATTGATCTTAAAATTAATACCTCACTCTTTTTTCTTTACTTCTAATATTTGTTTTCCTTTCCTTGCTTTGATTTTCTTGATCTAAGCAAATCCTCCCGTATCTACAGGGAGTATATGCAAGTCATGTGGCAAGAGACGTCTCACTCAATTTATTTGCGATTTGCTTCTAACCTAGGTGACTCATCCTACTTGTATATGCATATTAAACACCCTATGGGCTATGGTGGTGATAGGGCGTGTATATATCTTTTTATTTTTATTTTTATTTTTAGTTTAATTAATTATACATAAAATTATATTTTTCTTATTTATAATTAAATAAGACTAATATAAAATTTAAGGAATAACTTAAAATTTTAGATTGTTACAATCTTTCATCTTTTTAAAAATTTTGTCCTCAAAATTTGTCGTGTAAGTTATCCACTGCGCACTCTGATAAATATATATCAATAATAAATTTGATGATTAATCTGATATAAAATATTACTAAATCATTACCTCAAAAAAATTTACCAAAAACAATTCACTGTTTATTTGTCAAAAATTATTTTGGGCCAAAATGAAAAACAATGGGTGACTTTAAAAACTGTTCATTGGTTTTGTGAAAGATTATACATTTGAACCCATTTTTAAAAAGTCAAAATGATTTCTTTTTTTTCTTTTCAAATGCTACGGAACATTTGATACGGAATTTTTTTTTTTGTAATTGGTTTTTTTTCTTCAAATTATTTAGCACATACATGAAAGATATATACAATTATATAGAGTAACTAATAATTCATCTTAATTACAAAATTTAGTGAAATACCATAATTATATATACCACGATTGTTGTTACACAAATATTTAATTTAACTACAACCTGTAATCTAGCTCAACGTTTCCCTCATCTTATTTGTGCCTGTGTCTTATGCTCCAATACTTTAATAAAAATAATTTTAAAAACCTAGGCTCTGATACCACTTGTCACAACTCGTTCCCCGTACCCAAGGTTAAGTATCGTGATGGCCAGTAACTGAAGTTACCTACGGCCAATTCTTGAACAAATTAATAAATGCGAGTGGAAATAATATTAAAGTGAGGGTATCAAAATAATTATTGGAGCTTCTATTTAATTAAATTATCAGAGCTGAACTATAAAGTGCTTTGTGCTTACCCCACGCGCTGGCCCTGACATGTCACCTGAAAGTGGTAAATAACTACAAGCACATGACGGAGTGAGAAATATTATACTAAGAGTATAAGGGCATAAAATTCATCATGGATAATTATGAGACTAAACATAGCTTGATATTAAAATACAAAATATATAATACGGAAATCATTTGACATATAATATAAAATAATCATAACCATGGTACAGAACAAAACAGAACAGGGGTCACTGGAGTGACAATCAGAATATGAGTCAATGGATCCATGACAAACAGAGGATCATAAAGTGGCCAAACAGGGGCCAATGGTTATTTAATTCTCCCAAGGCATGGGACCTCCCTGGTGGTTACTTATAAAATAATTACTCAAAACACATTTTAATAAACAGTTATATCCATAAGTTTTACTTATTATATAAAATAAGGTTCGTAAAATAAATAACATAATTAAAACATAATTACACAAAATAAATTATAATAACTCAAAACATATAGAAAACATATTATGGTAACTTAAATCTTAAAAAAACATAATTTATATATTAAAAAAATATAAAATAAATATAAATATCTATAATTATCCCGTGCATAGCACGGGTGATAGGCTAGTAATATAATAAAAGAAAGAAGACATTTAATTTCTTGAAAAGTCAAACACATATGATTATTATCAAAATATAAAACTTTAATATAATATAAAAATGGGGAAAAAAATACATTTAAAAAAAAATGACATTTAAAAATCGCAATTCACATATATAGATAATTGTAAATATATTAAGAAAAAGAGGGTTTCTAAACCCCAAGCCTTGTGGGAGCTCCGATTTTTCAATCTTAATTTTCTAAATTTTTTATTTAAAAAAAACTCTCAGAATTTATTGATTTGGTCAAAATTTCCTGATCAGCATTTATTAACTTTTTCCAATCTACATGCTTGTATTTATTGATTTGGTCAAAACCTCTGATTAGCATTTAAAATCCCTTCATACAAATAATTATAGATAACGTCCGTGCATAGTTACTGCAATAGTTTTTTTAATTTCTCCTGTACATTATGGTTAGTGATAAGATTGTTAAATTATTTTTATAAAAAATCTTAAAAAACGTAATTTATATATTAAAAAAGTTTAAAACAAATATAAATCTCTATAATTATCCCGTGCGTAGCACGGGTGATAGGTTAGTATATATTGAGCAAAAGGGATTTTTAACCCCAAAGGCCTGTGGGAGCTTCAATATGCCAATCCTAATTTTTAATTTTTTAATTTTTTTTTTTAAAAAAATTAAGCTCAGCATTTATTAACTTTTCTCAACCCACAAGACTTTTTGACTTATCTAATAATTACTGCAATACCTTTTCCAAAATAAATAATTTGTATATTAAAAAAAATTTAAAACAAATATAAATATCTATATCTATCTATATATTTATATCTATCTCTAACTCACAAGTTTTGTGGGAGTTCCAATATAATTTTTTAATTTTTTTGATTTTTTTGAAAAAAAAAACTTAGCACTTATTAAATTCTTCTAATTCTTTTTAACTTCTCCAATACACACACTCTTTTTAACTTTTCACATACCTAATGCAAACAGTGAGTCTCCTTTTTGTTTTCTCCTTCTTGACTTCTCACTTCTACACTTTCAACTTCAGTGACCACGTATGCAAACAGTAAGTCTTCTTTTTGTTTTTTCCTTCTTAACTTTTCCTTTTGTTTAC